AGAGATGGATAGGATGATGGGGAGGGTGGAGTAAGAGATGGGTAGGGTGATGGAGGGGTGGAGTAGGATATGGACGGAAAGATAAGGTGGATGTGGGATTGGAGATAGATGCGATTAGGGGTGGAGTCAAAGTAGACATGGTAGATATGGGATGATGGGATATGGATGATGGGGTAGAATTGTAGAGGGTATGATGATGGGGTTGGAAACAAAGTGCTTAAGTGTACTTCAGAGGAATTTTACTTATGCAGCATCCATTAAACTCACAAATGCACTGCTTATATGTAATCATCCAGGTCTAGTCTGACTGTTCTGGACCCACATTCTATAGGCATTCCTCTCTCCTGTAAAGAACTGTGAAGCCTTTGTTCCTGTATCTCCCTTGTTGGTGGTCTTTGTTGATTTACTTTAAACGACAGGCGTCCTTCAACAGTCTGCACACAGCACTAACTAGGATTTTTGTCTTAGAGTACAATAAATTTTATTGCTAAGGTTAATAAAATATCTTGTACATTCAACCAATCTTGTAAACAATTTTGATGAAGCTTGGTCGTAATTTTCTTGTTTAATTTAGTAACCATATTTGTATAACTTGGATGTCTCTTTCTTTCCTGTTATTACAGGAAAAGAATTCAAATTCATAACAAGCAGCACGCCATGGCAGCATTACCCTTCTAGTTTTCACCTTGTTCTTCGATTTTGGCAACCATGGTTTTCAATTTCATATTGTATTTCAGCTTTGTTAATAATTACATGTACATGTGCAAGTTCAGATTTCCTCAAACAAAACAAATAGTTTTATAAAGTATTTTCCTTACACACAATGGATTATCATCACCTTGCTGCTGGATTGATTCCACATTTCAGACACCATGCACCTCTTAAGAAAGAAAATTAAGAGATATTTTCTTTTGCTCAGGCGGTGTCACCAATGGATCACAGTAGTAGAGTTGCCAATCAAGACCAGGACTCCAACAAGCCAACTGAGAACTCTGTTACAGAGTTGAAAATCATCAGTGAAGTTTCTCAGCGAGATGTTAACAAAACTATAGAAACTCCTGATGGGTGCCAAAAAGAGGACAGGAACTCTTCATCCAATGAAGAAGCTGTTTCAACAGGCACACCTCCCTCGGTGAATCCCACTTCTGCCACCATTTGCGAATTAGCAGAGCCCCCTTCCTTGACTGTAGCCATGGTTAGCAGTAAGAAGGGGGTTTCAGCCAGTGCTGTTGATGGAGCTTTAAAAGGTATAGAGCATGCCCATTTGGCATCCGGAATCTGTACACAAGAGAAAAGCTTGAGTGCACCTCTCCCAGCAAATGAAACATCTGGACCAACAGGAGTGAAGATCGGCAAACGGCAAAGGAGCCCATCTGTTGACATGACAGAAGACAATACAAACAAAAAGCCTAAGCTGGATGGAGCAAGCACACAGGGCTGTGAAGGTATTTTTTGTCTCAATATAGTCTGGTGTTACAAATTTTCAAACCTGCAAAGAGCTTTTTTTAACATCTTTCCTTTCCCATTCAGGTGATTAGCTTCTTAGGTAGTTGGCTTTTTCACATAATGGAGAGAAGCTACATGTATTACTATTGTATCTTTTCCTTCACTGGTTTTTTCTTCACAAAATCCTGTTCACTTTGTGCGTGTAGCTTCCACCCATGACTTTAGTTCTTTCCAGCTTCAGATCTTCTCCAAACTTACGCCATTGATGGACCCTTTTGTATACAAGTAGATGGTCCCGGAACAATGACATAATGACCATCAAGTGTTTTTCATTGATTGTTAATATTAGCCCATTGAATTTAGCACTTTGTACAAGTTTAATAAGGGGTCATTCGGGCCATTTGGTGATGTCATATTTTTATCAAAGTTACACCAAGCAAAGACCCAATACAAAGATGAAACCAAACTTATGATGTCATGAATTACAACAAAGTGACCTTTGATTGTTCAAAAATCATTTAAAATCAATCTTAACAGATAGAGTCCTGAAATAAGCCTTAAATGATGAGTAATCAGCACCATTCATTGTCCAAGGCATTAGAATCATTGTATTGTTCATACACGCTAAGTATATGTATGTGAAGTTATTTATTTTGATAATTTGGTGATGTTTACGCTACTTGTATGGACAGTACACATGGTGACCTCTTGTCCTAAACTACAGCAATTCTCACGTGGAGCATCATACGTACATTCATATTGTTGGCTGTGCATGCGGTGAGACCTTGCAAGTTTAATTCGTGAGGTTGTACCAGTAGGTCTACATGAGAAGATTACCTTCTCACAAACAGTACGGTACTTGGCAAAAGACATGTAAGGGTTTATCTACGTGTACATGGGTAATGTCTAAAGAGGGTATTACCTTGGAGATATTGAAGTATTTGTGTATTTCGGAAATGTTAAATGCGGAAAAGCCTGGTGCTCTGATGCAAATAGACATTCCTGTAGAAGTTGTAGTTGTCAATAACAAGGTTTTTTACTGTAATTGTTAAGAAAAACAAGCCTTGTTAATTTATGTACATCATCAAGCCTAAATTTGAACGCACAAATTTGATAAAGGAAACTTGGTACATGTAGCATCCAAAAAAATGAATTGAAGAGCCCTCACCTATCAAAAGGTACAAGAAAATTGAGAGTACTGTACACGTACATGTATGTGTATTTGAAGTGTACATATATACCAGGTAAGGAGCCACATGTCAGGAGCTCAACAGTTTCCCCTATCTTTAGTTGCTACTTTATCACCTTCATACAATAGGACATCAACAATCGCTTTTAAATTGAAATTTGAAATTGTTGCAGTCCACAGTTTACCATGTTTACAGTTTGAACCATATCAGCTCCATGGGCAAAATGTCCGTGTCACTTACTCTCCAAATTGTGAAGATGGGTACCCATTACTTGGGGATCCGGAGGGCAGGTTTCTGAAAAATGTTCCTTGCATAAGTACATGTACCCTGTCACTTGTGACAGAAGCTGGGAAGACAGCTGAAAGCAAGTGCCACTATGCACCCAACAACTAAGCAAAGACCACATAGGTATGCATATACATGTGCATGTGCAGTACATGTAAGTGTTCCTACCCTTTGTTGTGTAAGAACATGTCAAGCAGTGTGTCAGGATTTTGCTTGGCAACAGAAATGCCCTTGTCATAATTGGTAGTAGTATTTTGCTGTTGGCACATTGTCTTAACTAACAAATGCATTCCTCTTTACAGCTGACCTGAAAGCAAGTGTTGCGGAGACTTGCAAAGATGTGAAGACAACAGAAGCTGCCAATGCCAGGACTGTTACAAAGGATTGTGATGCTAGCAATTTAGACCAAAAAGTGGAAGGATCTTTGACTCTTCCCAATACGGAGGGTAAGTCCACTGACACAGAAAAGTCAGTCAGCAGTGTACACCCAAAAACTGAAATTCTGGATATCAGTGCTGTTAATCGACCAGTGGCACTTAAGCCCAGCATTTCTCCTGTTACACCGTCATCCACGAAACCAGCAAAACCACCACTTTGTCCAGCCAAAGAAAGCTCCTCTCAACCAAAGTTCAAAGAAGAGTCGTCTTCAACTATTGGAAATTGCTCGGTCAAAGCAGAGATTTCCAAAAGCAAATTGGCTGCTCTGACACGAAGGCCTGCATCGACATCACCATCTCCAGTTCCCATTCCACAAAGCTCAGCTAGACCAAGTCAGCGTGACAAAAAACCGAAACAAATCAGCATAAAGGTAATCTTTGACATTGAATGGTTGAATTAGCAGAATACTATTGACTGCATGCAGATTTTTGCTTACTTGAAAGATGTTTGCAGTGTCACCATCAAGAGTTAATCTCGTGAATTACAGCCCTGAAATGTTAATACCAACCTAGATGTCAAGCAATCTGTTAGAACTTCTCACCGCCAAGTTAGTCATAGCCTCAGATTACATACACGTACAGAGTGTTACAGACAAGGTGGTTTGAAGACTCGCCCATACTGGGCCTTAATGCAGAGCTACTTGGGTTGGTAGAACCTTTGACCAAGTGTAGAATGCCCAAGGCATTTCTGTGCCGAACAGTAATTCAGGACATTGTTGTGGTCAAGTCCATCCCAGGTCATCCAATCTATTCAATTAAATTGTGGCAAAAGCATTCCATTGTCATTATTCACCCAGCTAATTATGACTGGTCTTGTGAGAATCCTTGTGAAAGGACATATGATGGACTGGACTATAACACTGAGTTAAAAAGTATGATTACTGCTTGAATATATGAAAACACGGTGCTGACTGTTATAGATATTTTGATAAAATGACAGGTTCAGGGGTTTGGGGAGCAAAAGTCTTGATTTGGTTTGGCACAGGTGCATTATGCGATTCCCACTCCCCATCTCTAGGATTTGAGACTTTTGATTGAGAAGAATGCCCAGGCAGCTCTGCAGTCCAAGCTGGAGCTATTGCAACGGCAGATGGAGGTGGCCAACAAAGGGGAGCAGGCCTGGAAGGCCCGAGCCGTGGAGCTGCAGGCCCACCTGAACACTGTGCAAGAGGAGCTGGCCAAGACACAGTCGGAGAAGGATGGCCTGAGAACAGAGATGTCCAAACTGCAGGAGCAACTGGAGACCTCAGAGGGGAAACTGCAAGATAAGGTAAACATTGCTTGTCTGCTCTTGAAATTGGCCCTACTAGTGTCCGATTTTGTGAAGATGATCATCCAACCAAAAACCCTGCTGAAGTCTTTGAGGAAAACGTCTGAGAGTCGTTAGTGATGAAATTATTTCACCAGCAGTTCAAGTTCCAAAGATTTTGATAGTCCACATCTGCCAAGCTTTATCACAGTGAATTTCTACATTTGATGCTCTGAAACACAAATTGCTAATCATTCAACATCCAAAGAGCCCAGATAACTTCCCTTGGGCTGTTTGTAGGATCTATCACAAAGAACTACAATACCTTTAACCCCTTGACGATGGGAATTTCTTCCCGAAAGCCGACTTCCAGCCTCGCTTGGCCACGAAGGCCACCTGCCAAACTGCAGATTCTCGGTTTGTGGCCCTGCATGCTCTGCACACTTTGAATTACACGGTGAAAAGGCTGATTGTTCGGTGGCATGCAGCTCTACTCAAGCTTCCACATTCCCGTTGCCTCTCTTCAAAGTGGGGACTATTGTGAAGCTGGTGATTATGATGCATATTTGGTCTTTTCATTTCTGGGCTACGCACAAAGACCAATTACCATATATACAAGAGCCAGGGTCTGCCTTCTTTCACCGTGTTCGCTCGAGCGTCCCGGTTGCTCTATCCACGTCCCGGCATGAAGGGGTTAACAGTTTTAGTTGTGCTTTGGAGGTGCTAATGCTTTGCAGTTGCAAAAAAGTTTAGACTAGTTTCTTGGACTGGAATATACATGAATATGATATTTCATGATACTGTACATACTCTTTCTATTCGATCCCAGCTGCACTGCATACATCCGAACCTGTATAACTGATCATTTTTCTGTCTTTCAGGGCATTATCAAGGAAAATGTTTCTACTGGGACACAGTATGATAGCAAGGACTTTACACAGCAACCGGTTGCCCTTGACTCTGCAAAATCTCGGAAAGCCACTCCAGAACCACAACCAGAAAAGTTGGACGAACCTCAAAAAGTAGCCTCTAAAAAACCAGACATTCCAAATGCCTGTGTGGAAGCAAACGCTGGAAGTCGGCCTGTCTCCAGGGACCAGCCCCTGGAAGCTCCACCTGTTGGGGGTGATTCTCCAGTGAGGAGTGCTTCCCCTGAGGTTGTTGAGGTTCCACCACAGACACAGGCAAAAGCTGAGTCCATCAGCAAGGTAACAAAGAAGGGAAGTTTTCTGAACATTCGTAGAATCTTTACGTTTGAGCTTGTAGGGGTTAGCATTTATGACTCGCATGACTGCCTGCACAGTTGGAATCTACCTGCAATTTACAAGCATTGTAGGTTTGTAGCAGGGGAGTAGAATAATTGTACAGAGTAAGTGGATATATCCTTTTGATGGATAGGACCATTTGTTAATAATGGATGACACTGTGCCATCCTGATCGTCTTGTTTTTGTGTTTCTCTTCAGGAGTCTCCTACAGTCTCTGTAACTAAGACTACACCAATTCCTCAGCAAGCAGGTTCAACTGTAAGGGTACCACCAGCTTTTGGTTTTAGATCTACCCCTTCTACCACTACAACTGCTAGCACAGTGGTTTCTCAGGAGACAACTGTCAGTTCTGCATCTCTTATAAATGCAGCAGCACCTTCATACAAGGTCACTGAATTGCCAACAGGTGTCACTGTTCCAACTTTGGAAAAGGCAGCAGGAACTGCAGAGCTTGCAACCAGTGATGCACCTGCACCTACATCTCTGGCACCTGGACATACAGCCATGGTACCTGTTCCCACTGTTGCACCTGCTCCCCCTGTTGCACCTGCTCCCACTGTAGCACCTGCTCCCACTGTGGCACCTGCTTCTACTGTGGCTCCTACTCCAGCTCCCACTCCCACTGTAGCTCCAGCTCCTACTCCTACTGTGGCTTCTACTCCAACTGTACCTCAGACAGGATCAAATGACTATGGTGCACCTCCCATCAAGGAATCACCAGCACCTGCCCCAAGACCTGAGCCTGCAACCCAAGCAGCTTCAACAGCCGCAGAAATTCCCATTGCGATCACAAATCCTAAGAAAGCATCCACGCCTGAAGGTCAAGAAACCAGTAGTTCTGTTCAGGTGGTTGCTGTGAAGAAGCAGGTGCCATCGCCTCGCGTGAAGACACCCCAGCCACCTCAAATCCCATCGCCTCGGGCTCAGACCCCTTCTTCAAAAGCCTCCACTCCATCATCACAGCATGTAGGAGCATCACCCCATGCTGTTTCCCCAAGTGGCAAAGCTCCATCCCTTCAAAAGCAAACCTCACAGAAGCTATCACTGCAAGTTAAGCAGCAACAAGCAATGCAACAGGTGAAGACAGCGAGAACTGCCAATCCCCATGCAGCAAAAGCTGTCCAAGAGCTCGAGTGCATAGACCTTACGGATGACTCAGACGAACCCAAAATCTCTGAAAAGGTGGGTCCCACTCCAAAACAGCCCTCAGGAGCCGCTACCCATGTTGCAATTTCTTCTCAAGCTAAGTTACCACCGCCATATCCAGGTCAGGGGCAGGTAACCAGACCACAGAGCATTGCCTCAGGAAATACTCAGGGATTAACTACCAAGAGACCAACCTTCCAACAACAGCCCACCAGTCAACAGCAGCTGAGACCTTCACAGCTGGTGAGACCAAGAACTCAGGCACCTGTGCCACAGCAGCTGCAGCAGCAGCCAAAAGCCCCTGGAATGCCTCCCCAGCTTGTAACGGTCACAGCACCCCCAAACAAAACAGTGGGAGCGCCAAATTGCCCCCCATCCTACACCAACCAGAGACTCCCTGTGACCAGAATACCCCCTGTGCCGCCAATGCAATCAGTGTCCTCTGGCCAGCAGGTGGCCTTCTCTCAGGCTGCCGCACCCCCTGCCTTGAAGCCGGCATCGCTTGCCACGCCCAATACTAAAGCCCAGTTCAACAGCCAAAGCATAATCGCTGGTATGCAGACGTTTGTGAGCTCCAGTACCAGTGTACATGGCACTCCTGCAGGACAGGCACCTGGAAGTAGTCTCCCTGGTGTCCCACAGATTGCCGGTATTGCCCCCATTCTGCAGAGAATGGCAGTTCCAGTAGCATCACAACAACTTGGCGGGATCTACTACCCAACAGCCACCCAGGCAGGCTTGCCTGGTGACAGGTTGCCACAGCCTCAGGCACGTATTTCACTTTGTTTAATTATTGTAACTTTATGATATGCAGGGATTTGGAGATGTTAAAGATAGCTACAGAGTACAAGTCACTTAGACTATTAAATTGGAGGCAGCAAATTGACTTTATATCTAGGTCACTATTCATTGTTAACAAGGGAAACATCTTAGCTCACAAGAGAACCCTACAAGACCTCACAAGACAAACACCTAACCTCCAGTCAGAATTCAAGTCACAAGTGTCGGATCTTGTTATCGTTTAGATTATGATAATGGTCTAGTCTCTACTATATTTAAAAAGGCTCGAAACTGAAAACTTTACCTTACCCACTTTAAAGATAACCAATGGCATTTTGGGAGTTGGAGACCCTAGCCCTGTGGATGGACCTTCATATCTGTCTTTCCAAAGTGTAATTGCTGTTTTCTAAATCGTGGAAGGAAAAAGATGTTTTTGCCATATTATTTTTCATGTCATTCTTACACTTTCATGCTGCAAAATAAAAATTTCCAGGGGAGGGGGGGTCAGATGTGAGGCACCACTTTGTCTCCTGGCAATTATCTTGTGCACATACTCACTTGTAGGGAGAGAGGATGCCATCAAATGCCATCACAGCCATGCAGCTTGCTTCTCTACAACAGCAACAACTGCAGCAAATTCAGAAGCAGCAGCAACTTCAGCAAGCCCAGCAGCTACAGCAAGCCCAGCAGTTGCAGCAACAGCAAGCTCGGCACTTGCAGCAACAGCAAGTCCAGCAGCTGCAACAACACCAAGCCCAGCAGTTGCAACAACAGCAAGCCCAGCAGTTGCAACAACAGCAAGCTCAACTGAAACAGCAGCAGCAGCAGCAGAAACTGCTGCTGCAGCAACAGCAGAAACAACAGCAGATACAGCAACAGCTGCACCAGCAAAGACTACAGCTGCAGCAAAAGAGCAGGGCTGATGATGAACAGCGGCAGCATGTGACAGTGCAGCAGCAACTTCAGCTGCAGAGACAGCAACACCAGCAAGTTAACCAGGTTGTGCAAGAACAAATGCAGGTAAGTTAGTTGCTGTAGAATTTAAAAATATTGTTTCTACATGAAAAAAATAAACCAAATTACTTGTAATTGAAATTCTGGTAGGATGTTGCAGTTTTGAGGTATTAACGGTGTACAGTACATGAAGAAAATTTAAAGAATAGGTTTTGTGACATTTCCAGGATGGTGAGAATTCACATTTTAAGCCAGTTTTAGCTCTTTTTGTTTAGATTTTTACTCTTGATTTTAACTTTATCTGTATAAGATTATGTGAACTGTTTACATTTCAGCATTTTGCTTGCTGTTTTCAGCTTTGTTTGTATGTTGTGTATTTGACTTGGCCATGAACAGCCTAATACATGCAGACTTTCTGCCTGTGTGTTAGTGCTGCAAATAAGTGCCAAGGTGTGGTATGGGTGCGGTAATTTTTTGGCGAACTTCAGTTCGGGTTCGGACATGTTCACACATGTACGAGACATTGAGACATTGAAGAGCTCGCTACAAATGTGCCATAGTACTTCTGTGTATAAAATACATTAACCTTCCTATGGTTTTACA